GGGCCTGGGTCCTCTATCCATCTGTCTGTCGCTGCAGAGATGACCCCAGAGCTAGCCATCAGGCCCCAGGAGAACATGGTTCACAGGTGGCCTACCTTCTGCTCTTTGTGTCACCTGACTCCGTTCTCTGGCCGTGGCAATACCAGGGTCCCACTCTCTCTAGGAGACATGGCTGCAGCTGTGATAGCCTAGGAGTCAACTCGACTCATATCTGAGGGCCGTCATCACAAAGTGCCACCATCCAGGTGGCTTAAAACCACCGAATTTTATTCTCTCACAGTTCTGGAGGCTAACCAAACCAACTGCCACTGAATCCCTCGGGCTCCCGGCGACCCTGTCTAACTCCCTGCCATCAAGCAGAGTCAGACTCATAACAACTCCGTAGCCCGGAGCACCGCTGCCCCTGGGGGTGTCTGAGCACCTGAGTCCTTGCGGGAGGTGAGGGCCTCTGCTTTCTGGGGGTTTCAAACGGCTGACTTTATGTTAGCACCCCATGTGTACTCCGCTCCGCCACCTGAGCTGCCTGGAAGTCCGGAATCAAGAGTTCAGCAGGGTTGGCTCTTTCTAGCAGCCTCTCCTAGTTCCTGGTGGTGGCCAACCTTGATGACCCTGGACTGCTCCCAGGGTCGAAGGGCGTTCGGCTTCCTCGTGGGGCATCGCTCGCTGTCTTCACACATCTTCCTGTAAGAAGACAAGGCGCCGGATTCAGGAGAACTGACGCCTCTGACCCGCACGGTCGAAGAGCAGGGTGTGTCACGAACTGAGAAGAAGGGATGCATCTGCTCTGGAGGAAGCCCACCAGGGTGCACCTTAGCAGTGAGGGTGCTGAGCCCTGTCTCACGGACTTTGGGCATGCCGTCAGGAGGAGCCAGTCTCTGGAAAAGAGCACCATGCTTAGTAGAGTAGGGGGGCTTACTAAGGGTAACCCTAGGGTCCGTCCTAATCCGATGTGACCTTATCTTCACGCAGGCCACATCCTGAGTTCTCAGGTGAATGTGCGTTGGAGGGGAAGGGGACATGGGCACCATGGGACATGGGTTCTGACCGGAAATGGCTCCACAGGGTATCACGGAGGGACCGTTGGCAGTGGGATGGGAAAGCGCCAGGACTTAGCACCTGTGGGAAGCCATGCCATGCCCGGGCCTGGGGTAAGAAGAGGAGATGAGCTCATCCATGCCCAGTGAGGAGAGCTGGAGCCACGAGAGAGAGGTCTCCTCATCAGCGAACAGAGCTGCTGGCAGAACTGCAGGAGGAAAGGCGGGGATGTGTGTCATAGTCCCCACCACTCCCTCCTGCTCCTCCTTCTGCCTGCCTTCTGCCACAGCTGCCCCCTGGCCCACCCATGGGGGAGCCCCATGGGAAGCCCAGGTGAAGGCAACGCAGAGGGAATACCCTCCCAGGGGAAGAAAGACACAGCAGGGAGGGGGTTGGGGAGAAGACTAGCACCCCTGGCTCGTTCCTTCCCCCACACATCCGCCCTGTTTGTGAAGGTGCCTTCGGTGGCTCGCTGGTGGAATACTGGTAGAATTCTCACCTCCCACGTGGGAGACTTGGCTTCAGCTTCGGGTGCGCTTCGTGGCCATCACCACCTGGCCGGTGGAGGCTTCGAGTGGCTATGATGCTGGGCAAGTTTCAGCAGAGGTTCCTGACTAACCTGGACTACAATAAATATATACCCTGGTGATCTCCTTCCAAACTCCAGCCCCACCCAAATCCCATGGATCACAGTGGTCTGATCCCCAACTGGTCACAGGGATGGTGTAGCAGTGAGGCGGGCTTTGTTCCACTGTCCTGGGGCCGCCATGAGCCTGGGCCTGACTGGACAGCAGCCAACCGCGACAACTCTGCCAAGTGCCGTATGAACGTGGCCACGCATCAGCCAGGGAGAGCCCATCGCAGGCGTGGTGTCGCAGAAGCTGTTCTTGCCACTGAGTTGTGTCCCGTGAGCTTGATTTTGTCCACAGCTCAAGAAATTCTGCCCATGATGTGACCCCAAATCCAATGTCCTCTCCATTAAAAAGGCCAAAAGCCTGTATTCCATCGATATGAGCAATGTGTGCAGCTTCCATACTGCAGGCTAGCCTCACGTGGTCTCTCGGGAGACCGGAGCCTGGCAGAGCTGAGTGTTAGAAGTGACCATAATTGTCTTCGTTAGGGGCATTTGAGTTAATTCTGACTCCGGGACAAGAAAGCAAAACTGCCCAGCCTTGTCTTCTTCAATGCCATTGCTCTGTGCGCCCATCCCTGCGGCCACTGTGTCAGCCTGTCTCGTTGAAGGTCTTCCTCTTTCTCTCTGCTGCTCTGCTTTGTAAGCGTGATGCTTCCCCACGGCCTGGTTCCTCCTGCTGGCATGCCCAAAGCCCGTGAGACGGTCTCAACATCTTCACTTCTACAGCGTGCCCTGGCTGGGCTCCCTCCAAAGCAGATGTGTTCCTCCTCCTCCCAGTTGGTGACACACTCCAGGCTCTTCAAAGGCACCAGTCCTCCTTCCGCCCTCCTTATCCACTGTCCACCTTCCACATCATCTGAGTGATTCAAAACATCATGGCTTGGGTCAGGCACCTGAGACCTCAAGGTGACAGCTCTACTTTTAAACACCTTTCAGAGACCTTTCACAGCAGGTCCGCCCCATGCAATTCATCATCACTTTATTTCTTGAATCGAACAATGAAATTCTTAATACCCTCAGTAGCTTCTCCCTTTATCAGGATGTTGCTGGCTGGTCCGGTTGTGAAGATTGTGGGGTGCTCTCTATGAATTGGAATCTATGGGCTACCATCTTTGACCTTCATCAGTCAGTGTTTCAAATCATCTTCCCTTTTAACCAGGATGCTGCAGCGGGGTAATGAATCCCCCTCCAGTCCTGAGCCAGGTGCTCCTTCCTCTGGAAACTCTAGGGGAGCGGTTCTCCTCTGTCCTACAGGGTTACTGACTCCTGGGCACTGCCCGTCGGACAGTGGTTGAGCTCACTGTGGTTGGTGTGAGCGCTGCCCCAGTGCTAAAACATTTCAGTGGAGCTTCCAGACAAAGATGGACTAGGGGGGAAGGCCTCATGATGTCCTTCCAACTCCCAGCCAATGGGAGGCCAGCGCCCGATGCCCGCAGGCTTGTTTCTGTCTTTGTTTGAGTTTTGGTTTCTTTGTGTTTGCTGTCTTTGGTTTCAGACCACAGAGCAGCTGGTCCTTCGTCATGAGGTTCAGTGCATCAACTCTTTCTCGAGATGGTCTCTACGTTCGAGTTGGCTGCGCGTTATTCTCAGGGACTTACTTTCTGTTGCTTCAGCTCCCCTGTGACTTGCATATGAGCACTTGAGGGTCCGCCACTGCAGTCAGCCCCAGCCTTGTTTCACCTGATGCTGTTGAGCCTCTCCGTGGTCCCTTTCCACAGATGTAGTTGACTTGGTTCTGGTATAGTCCATCTAGCAGGGTCCATGTGCATAGTCACTGTGTAGGTTGTCAAAAAGGTATTTCCAATGAATGGGTCACTGGTCTTGCAAAATTCCATCACACCACGCAATCTCTGCTTTGTTTTTATTATCGACGCCATATTGCCAATTACTGATCCTTCTTGTTTCCAAGTTTTACGTTCCACTCACCAGTAATTACCAATGCACATTTAATGGTCGCATGTTTGATGAATTTCAGATCTCAAAAATTGGTTTTAAAAAAAGTTCCAATTTCCTCATCTGTAGTGTTAGTGGTTGGCGCATGAATCTGAGTCATAGTTTGTTGCCTGCTGCTCCTTGTAGGCATCTGAACATGATCCTATCCCTGACAGCCTTCTACTTCAGAACGAGCCCTGAAATGTTCTTTTCCACATTGAATGCGATACCATTCCCTTCAAGTTGTCATCCGATTGTTCAGTCCCAAACAGCCAATGCCAGTCTGTTTCCATTCACGAAAGCCTACGATCTCTATCATCAAGCGTTCCATCCCATGTTTGACCACTTCCGGTTTCCCTAGATTCACACTGCCTGCCTTCCACATGCGAAGTCCTAACGGGCTCGCAGCTGCTCCCCTCATTCTGTGCGCTCCCCACCCTGAGGGGCTCGCTTCACGGGGCTGTGCCAGATCATGTCCCACCATGGTTCTTATCGTTTCCACTGACCATTGTTTAAGAAGTAGTGCACCGGGTTCTTCTTCTCAGTAGGTCTTTGTCTGGATGCACCATTGACACCTGTCCTCCATGGGTAACCCTGCTTGTATTTGAAACACTGGTGGCATGGCTTCCAGCATCACAGCACTACACAAACCACCGCAGTACAAGCTGACAAAAGAGTAGTGGAGAGGTGACTCCTGGGTTTCTCTCGTATACCAGTTTCAATCCCCGGGATTCTGCTGAGGAGGAGCCTGGGGTGGACTTTGGCAGTACTGTGATTGATTGGTGAGGTCTGTCATGGCACTGGACAGTAAGTAGTGATGTAAGTGCCCTCTTGTGACCCTAACCAGTTACCCTTGTTTTTCATGGAGCCTCATGTGCTTTCTTTATGTTCTTTTTAATGTATTTCTTTTTCGGTCCCTTAAAAAAAAATCTCATCCTTTCATGGTTCAGTGGTAGAATTCTTGCCTTCCATGCCAGTGACTTGCATTTGATTCCCGGGCAGTAACCCTTATGTGCAGCAGCTTCCACCCCTCAGGCAGTGGCTGAGATCACTGTTGTTGCTCTGATGCTGACGAGTCCTGGTGGAGCTTCCAGACCAAGATGGACTAGGGACAAGAAGGCCCGATGACCTATTTCCAAAACCCATCCAATGAAACCTGATGGATCCCCACGGGACATTGTTCAATGTCAATCCATAGGGAGGGTGCACGACCAGACGTGTTGAGCAGGGAGACACCGTGAGCCAAAGACGTGTGTGTTTTCCTCCTCCACCAGCCTGTGGCTCCTCCCTCTCCTTCACTCGGAATGAATTCCGTCCAGGAGAAACTAACTAACTAACTAACTAACCAGCTAACTCCACCTCAACCCCTCTGGCCACCTCGCCCTGTTTTTCTCCGCAGGCCACCACCCACGTGTATGTGACCATCGTGGATGAAAACGATAACGCGCCTGCGTTCCAGCAGCCCCACTACGAGGTGCTGCTGGATGAGGGCCCTGCCACGGTGGGCGCCAGCCTCCTCACCATCCAGGCGCTGGACCCGGACGAGGGGCCCAATGGCACAGTGAGCTACGCCATCGTCTCGGGCAACATCATCAACACGTTCCGTATCGACAGACACACGGTTAGCAGGGGTCAGGGCAGGGTGAGGAGAGACGATGGAGTCTGGGAGATACCTGGTGGGGGCAGCCATGCTCAGAGCCTGAAAGCTTGGATGGAGAGGGGTCAAGGTCCCCCTCCATGACTTGATGGTCAGGGGGAGCTCCGTGGAGGAGCCAGTTCCCAGCGCACTCAGACCCACCATGTATTGACACCCCCCCGCCCCCTGCTTCCTCTCTGACCCCACCCAGGGCGTCCTCAGCGCTGTCAAGGAGCTGGACTACGAGATCAGTCATGGCCGCTACACGCTGATCGTCACCGCCACAGACCAGTGCCCCATCCTGTCCCACCGTCTCACCTCTACTACCACGGTAAGTGAGGGGACACACCCAACTGGAGAGATGGCCAAAGCCTGGGTACCCAGTGGGGATGGCTAAATCCAAAAGCCTTTAGCCTCCTCGACCATCCCAATGGGCTGTGTGACCTCGAGGAGGTCGCTGGGCCTGTCTGTGGCTGCACTTGTCAGACGGGTCGTGGCACCCACCTTCCTGGGAAGACCGTGATTCTGCTCGAGCCAGCAGGGTTTCCGTGGCCCGCGCCTGCAGCTCTGAGAGCTACGACCCTGTGCGAGTCACGTACCCTTCCCGAGCGTCTGTTTCCTCCGCTGTGAGGGGGCTAATCAAAACTGCTCGTCAGAGGAGAGGGAAATCAAAGGAAGCGGAGCCCAGTGGGAACCGGAGGTCCACAGCACCCTTAGGAACACATCAGTATGGCCGAGAAAAGGCTTTGACGGTGGCAGTGGCTCAGACACACGGATACCTCGAAAGTCCCTTTCTTCCCCTCCCCTGATCCTTTAAGACTCTTGCATCCGCCCCACAAGGCAGGGTTACCAGGTCCCGTTTACAGGTGAAGGGGCAGATGCCCAGCGGGGGCTAAACCAGCACCAGGCCTGGCTGGGATCTCTGGCCCTGACTAGCCGTGTCCACCACTCAGGTGCTGGTGGACGTGAATGACATCAATGACAATGTGCCCACCTTCCCCCGAGACTACGAGGGGCCGTTTGACGTCACAGAGGGCCAGCCAGGGCCCAGAGTGTGGACCTTCCTGGCCCACGACCGGGACTCGGGCCCCAACGGCCAGGTGGAGTACAGCATCGTGGATGGAGACCCCCTAGGTGAGTAGGGCCTAAACTAAGAAGGGGCCGGGGCTCTTCCCCACCTTACGCAGAGCAGGACAGGTCTCACAGCAATTGGCCCCGCCTCCGGGTGCCTCTTCTCTAGGCCTCAGTTTCCCCAACCCTACGATGGCGGATGCTGCCCCGCTCACCCCTCTTCACAGGGCCGAGGTGAGAGCGCTGTGAACATGGAGCAGAGGAGGGTGGTCCTGAGCTGCCAATGGGCGCATCTGTCTCGTACCCAGAGGGCAGAGCCCAGTGTAGCCACCCCCCACAGGGTGACATGAGGTGCTCAAGGTCACCCAGCTTGCAGGCTCCGCCCCACCACGACAGCCTCCTCTTGGAGGGGTTCCCTCAGTGGAGAGGCGTCGAGGTGGGCTCGGGAACGCAGAGGGAGTCACTGTGAGCCGGCACTGAGTGAGTGCCGATGTGAGAGGGTGGGGTGTTCAAGCCCTGGCACATGCCCCAGCCCCATTGCCATCCTGGCCCTTCCCCCTGTGGGGGTTCCCAGGGCTGTACATCTCCACAGGGACCTTGTCCTATGGAATTGATGGTTGGCTTGCACCCTGACCTTGTGGTGGCAGCCTAATGCTTACCCACCAAGGCCATCAGGGTCACTGGCAATGCAAGAACTTTTGGCCTGCTGGTCCCTGGGAGTTGAGCTGCAGGGGTCTATCCTGGGTGGAGCCTGGGTCCAGCACCTCTGAGCCTTCAGGAACCTAGTACCTTCCTTCAAGGAGTGGGGGGATCTGTGCCGGTTTGAAGGCTGGCAAGAGGCCATCTGTGTGCACTTGGCTTGGGCTGGAAAGCCTTGGAAAGGGAATCCCCAGACCTGGGAAATCCTGCCTAGAGCAGTCTCTGTGCCTCTGGCCGGCCGGGCCACACCCGTGGGGTGCAGAGCTGAGGCGCAGGTGGGACTTGAGACGGTTTTTATCAATCACAGTGGCAGGGGCCAGGCCAGGAGTGGTGAGGCAGAGGTCAAGGGACAGGCAGAGAAGACTTGGGGAGCTGTGACCTCTGTCTGTGCTCTGGCCCTGTGCTGTGTGTCCTTGGATAAGTCAATACCCTACTCCGGGACCCCTGTCCCTCACTTTCCAAAGTAACTTCCTCCCAGTTCCTGGGGGAGTACAAAGAGTCAGCCCCTCTTCCTCAAGTTCTCCCCACTTTCTGCTCCCCCGCTCCTCCCTTTTCTTCTCGCCAGAGCCTCCCTCACCCCCTAATGTCTGCACTCCAACCGGATCCCACTCTTTCCCCTGGCTCTCTTCCCGCGAGCCTGCAGGATGGAGTCGGACTGCTCCTTAGGTTTTCTGAGACTGCATCTTTACAGGCACAAGCAGCCTCTCGTCTCTCTCCCACAGAGCAGCAGGTGGGTTTGAACCACCATGCTTGCTGTTAGCAGCCCCATGCTTAGCCTGCTGTGCCACCAGAGTGCCTTCCTCACCCTCTACCTCTCCTTCTCTCCTGCCCCTCCTGCCCTGCTGAGCTCTGAGTGCTGCCATCTGAAAAGACCATGCACTGTGGTTCAAATCACACTGTGGGGTCTAGAATAAGTCCCCACCTTTCACTGGGCCTCAGTTTCATTTTCCAAAGGACTCTCTTGGAGGCCCCATCCAACTCAGAGACTGAGAATTAAGGCTTGCTCTCAGACGTCCTCAGAAAGCGGGCTGCTCAGCCAGGTTGGAACAAGGGCTGAGCCAAAGGACCAGCTGAGGCTTCCCTAGAAGGTGAGGGAATGGCAGTCTTGGGGCTAGGGGACCCCCCCCACCCCCCCAGCCAGAGAGCCCTCTCTGCAGTGTGCCCATGGCACAGAACCAGGAATAGATGGAGGGCGATGGGGCCACCTGCCGTGGGTCTCTCCTCCTCCACTCCCCCCAGCCCGCCCCCAGCCCAGTGCGGCAGGTTCACCTGTAGCAAGGCACTCCTGTGTGTTCAGCTTTGGTCTTCTGGCTCCTCCTCCTCCTCCTGCTTCTCTCTCTCTCTCTTCTTTTCGATCTGGGAGGGATCGCACATTCAGAAGTTTCTCAGACCTTCAGGGACCAATTTCTGATCCTAAGCTGCTAGAAAAGGGGTCTTGTGGATGTTGTCAGTGTTGTCGAGGCGACGTTGCCCCCCAGCAGCCCCTTGCGGCAGAGAAGCGCTGTCTGGGTTTTCTAGGCTGCCCTGTTTACGGATCACTAGCACTTTGTCCCAACCCCCAGGCCTTTCAGTTCACAACTAAGTGCGTGTGGCCGGGCCCCCAGGCCTCCTTACTTTGAAACCGGTCCCTGTGAGGAAGCACCCAGTAGAGTTCGGCCCACATTGGCACCACGTGGATCAGGGCAGACATTTGCTCTGTGGGGTTCTCAGCTGCTGGTTCTCAGACGCGGATGGCAATCCTTTCTTCCAAGCTACCTCTCGGTGGATGCAAACAACCAACCTCTTGGTGCCACCCAGGGATTGTAGAAAGAAACCCCCCACTTTTTCAACTTAACCATCTCACCCAGGGTGAATCCCTGGTCTGCCCACTGAACAGGTGGGGAGGAATGACTGCAGTCTGCTCTACAGGTGGGGAGGCCAGGCCCACCATGTGTGAGTGTCCCCGGCTCACGTGCGCCCCTAGTGGTTACCTGGTCCTCCTGCCTCTGTACTTGCCCGCAGCGCTCCCTGGGCAGGTTGCACGAGGTTCTTTCTGAAGCTGGGACCAGCTGGAGGCTTGGGTTTGCGGGGGCGGGGGTGGAGGGGGGGTCTGGGCTCTGCGCACTTCCTGGCCATGCTGCTAACTGCAGCCTCTCCCGGGCCCACCCAGGGGAGTTTCTGATCTCTCCTGTGGAGGGGGTGCTGCGGGTCCGCAGGGACGTGGAGCTGGACCGGGAGACCATTGCCTTCTACAACCTGACCATCTGTGCCCGTGACAGGGGGGTGCCCCCCCTCAGCTCCACAGTGAGTCTGGGAGCCCCTTCCACTGGCTTTACCCCACCACCAGAGACCCTGCTTCTCATCTGCGCCTACGAACCCGGCCACCCTGCATGCCTGCGGCAGACCTCCACGCCTGCTCAGGGCTCACCTCGTGGGCACCCATGCTCCAGCCCCCGAGCACCCATCCTCCCAGCACTGTCCCGCCCTCTTTGTCCTCACGGTCATCCGCTTTGGCCTTTTTAGTGATCCTTTCCCTCCCCCCGCCCCTCGTCTTCCCACCACCCACGCCACCTTGTCTTCTTCCTCCGTGAGCACCCCTCGGGCCTCCGCTCCACCCGGCCTCCACTCCTCCTCCGCCTCTGTGTCCGCCATCACGTTCCCTCACCCCCCCCTTCTCCCTCCGCCCCGCGCCTGCACCACCTCTCCCGCCTCCCCTCTGCCTCAGATGCTGGTGGGCATCCGGGTGCTGGACATCAACGACAATGACCCGGTGCTGCTGAACCTGCCCATGAACATCACCATCAGCGAGAACAGCCCCGTCTCCACCTTCGTCGCCCACATCCTGGCCAGTGACGCCGACAGTGGCTGCAATGCCCTGCTCACCTTCAACATCACGGCCGGCAACCGCGAGAGGGCCTTCATCATCAATGCCACGGTAGCGCCCTGCCGGCGCAGCAGGCTCGGGGGTCCCCACGACAGAGCACCTACGTGCTGAGCGCCCCAGCTCCTGGGAGTGGGGTCAGGCCCCTCTGGTCCAGGCTCTCACCAGGCAGTCTCCCTCCAGTCCCCCTGATGAGCCACCTCTGGACCCCCTCTCAAGCCAGCCCTGTCACCCCTGAAGCTTGTCACATGCAGGGCCAGTGCCAGAGCCTCTGGTGCCCCTGGCAGTCTGTACCAAGAGGCACCAGGAAGTCCTCATTTGACCCCTTGGTGAGCAGCCCCACCCGAAGGGTCATCAGAGGGTCCATCCCTTTGAGGCAGCAAGACGGGAGCAACGGTGGGTCCCTGAGTCCTGCCAAGACCCCACAGGTGCAGGCCAGGCTTGGCCTTCTGGGCCTTCTCCTCGTCCGTAGCCAGCCCTGGAGCCGCAGGCAGAGCGGGCGCGTTTGTGGGTCAGCACGCAGTCCCTGCCTGCCTCACCGGCCCGCCATATCCCAGACAGGGGTCGTGACTGTGAACCGGGCCCTGGACCGTGAGCGGATCCCAAATTACAAGCTGACCGTTTCGGTGAAGGACAACCCAGGGGACCCCCGCATCGCCAGGCGGGTGAGACACAGAGGACTCCCCAGTTCCAGTACCGGAAGCCCGTGGGGGGCGCTTGGGCCTAAGAGTCCCCCAGTGCTGTAACTCTCTCCACATTCGCCTTCTGCTCCACGAAATGCTCACACCACTCTGGGCTGTGGAGAGGAGCCAGTGTCCCCCGAGGATGCAGCCCAGGCCCTGGACAGTGGCGAACACTCCGCCCGTCCAGATTCCTCTTTCCGCCCAACCTCCGATCCCTGGGCACACGCCACAGCGATGAGCCCAGGGCCATGGGGACACTCACGGCATATTCTCTGAGTCCTCAGGGACTGTGTCCCCCCTCAGAAAGCAAGGCCTCTGACCCCCTTTACTGAGGGCCGGTGGGTGCTGTAGAAGCAAACAGTCCCTTTGTGTGTGGGGGGGGAAGGGCAGGGGCAGTCTCTGACCAGCGTGTGCAACCTGGGCTTGCCTAGCTCCGCTCTGCTCTGCTCCTGGCACACATACGGCCCCGCTGGGCCCCAGCTTCCCCACCAATCTAGCCCAGGAAGCCTCTGTTCAGGAGCCCCCTGCCTCTTTTGCTCTGAGTTCCCCTCTGTGGCCCCTCCTCCACCTACTTGGGGACAGCCTGGTTGTCCTGGAAGCAGCAGCATTGAGTGATGGGAATCCACAGACTGCCGTCCTGGTCACCCCTCAGCCACTAACTTGCCGTGTGGCCTGGGGCGGGGTGGGGGGTGTCACGCCTCTTCTCTGAACTGGAGACCAGCCTGGAGGCCCAGAGACTCCCAAGCAAGGTGGGCATGGTTTGGAAGGATGCCTAGGAGGTCTTGAGGTGTTAAAAACAAGACTCGGGCCTCTGGCCCCAAACCTCAATTACGTCACGAGATAAGGCACCTTTCAAAGCCTCCGTCTCCCGGGACCGTCACAACACCTCCAAGAGGGAGTTCACAGGCCCATTTGCCAGATGGGAAACTGAGGCCCAGGCAGGGGGAATGACTTGACCACCTAGCAGGAGGGTCTCTGGATCCCTGGTTTGGCTTTTGGTCATCCACACAGCTTTGTGCCTTGAGCCCCTCCCACTATGGTGCAGTGGTGGAACACAGCCCAAGACCACCCTGCGTCCCACCTCCCCCCACAGGACTTCGACTTCCTGCTGATCTTTCTTGCGGACGAGAATGACAACCACCCGCTCTTTACTGAGAACACCTACCAGGCGGAGGTGATGGAGAACTCCCCCGAGGGTAGGTGCTGCCCCCACCCCTGAAACCCTGTCCCTGCCAGGCCCCAGAGACTGGGGGCCTGAAAGCCCACCTCCTGCTGATGGGGGCCCAGGGAAGGTCTGGCTGGGCAGGCAGCCTCGCCACATGGCTGAACAGCCCCTGTGGGTGTGGATGGGAGATGCGGTGCTGAGGGGCTGGCGGGCCAGCCAGGCCTCTTGGAACAGCTTCTGGTTGACAGAGACAGCTAAGGTCCCAGGTCCCCCTGCAGAGGGGCGTGTACAGTGTGAGGACTGGCTGTAAGCAGAGATAGGGGTTGAGGCCTGAGTCAGCCAGTGTACCCCTTGCTCACACTGCCCTTCAAGGAGCAGAGTCCTGTCTTGACTCCCCCTGGATGGCGCCCGGACGTCCTCCAGCCCTGAAGCTTGGGTGTGGAGTCAGAGCAAGATGTGCGCGCACAGGGCCTTGCTGTGCACTCGGTTCTGAAGCCTCACCTGTGTGTGTGCGCGCGCGCGTGTGCGTGTGTTCGCACACGGCCAGCATGGGTCCAGACCCAGCACACATGTGCATGTGCCCGGCACCCAGATGCACAGGGCATGGGTGCCTGCACACGCACTCACGCATGCAAGTACGCACGGTGGCACAGGCAGACAACTCACAACCTGGGACCCAGGGCACAAGTGCTCCCGCCAGGTGCACACACCTGTCTTCCTAGCCAGGTATAGACAGACACCTGTGCACGGAGCATCAGGAAGGGGATGTCAGGGAATGCCCAGACCCTCTGGTGAGTGGCCAGCCTCAAAGGCTGCTGGGAAGGCAGGCGTGGCTCCGGGCGGGCCGAGGGGCTTGCTCACTGCGTGTGTTTTCTCCCCAGCAGGGCTTTGAGGCCGCTCCCCAGGCACCTGTGTTCAATCTGCCAAGGCTGCCACAGCCCCGCCCCGGCCCCCCTCCCCTCTCCCCTTTCATCCATCCTCAGCCATGGCTCACTGGGAAGGGCTGGGAGCGGGGAGGGCGGGACTGGCGGGCCCTGCAGTGACCCCTCTCACCTCTGCCCAGGGACCCCCCTCACGATGCTCAATGGGCCCATCCTGGCCCTGGATGCAGATGAGGACATCTACGCTGTAGTGACCTACCGCCTACTGGGCGCCCAGAGTGGCCTCTTCCACATCAACAACAGCACAGGTGAGGCCAGAGATTCCCCCC